ACATTTCTTGTGGTCTGGGCATTATTCTAAATGTCCCTGCGGAAACATCACAGTCTCTGTGGGAGAGATGTGCTGAGAATTGTTTAATGAATCTGCTGTTAGAACTTTAGGTTGATGTCATGTTGCAAAATTGATGATGGAATAAAATACTCTCTATCACTGATGTCTGTGTCTGAACTTTCCATTCCAACCCAAGACTTAAAGAGTTTGACGTAGAGACACACTGACTCCCTAGCTTAACTTCAAACTTATTACAAAATCTGGCACAAAAGATTTCTCCCTATTGGTCTCCTTTTCCAGAAGTTAGTAGTTATGTATACGCATTAATACGTGACTTCCATGTAAAGTTTCTCTAACCCTGGTCTATAGAGAGCTGCCAGTGCATCCAGATGTGGGCCCTAAACACTCCCTGCTGCCCAACAGCACTGACAGCATGGAGCCCACACCCTGTCTCCAATCTATGTCTGCAGTGAAGCCCTTCCCAGGATCATGCCCAATGGGGACTCCTCACAGGTTCATGTGACTGGGCCACAGTGACATGGAATCTAAGTGGAGATGAGAGGGACTGAGGGAAGGCATACGTGAGTGCTAGCAAACCTCAAAGGCAGGAAACTTCAGCGTCACAGAAGATTATCAAATCCAATGCCCACATGTCAGAAAGGAAGGACAAAGAATAATCCATTGAGAGAATGACTTTACCTGAATGACAGCCATTCCTGACTCCTCTTCTTTCCTCTTCTGGGCTTCTTCTTCAGGTAACATGAGTCTTTAGACATCAATCCTGAAACCAGAAATTATACTGTTTAATGTTCATAATCAACCGACCCCCTTCCTATTCCACATCCACACATACACAGGGAAGACCTTAACATGTTGAAAACAGTCCTGTGCTGCCCACTGTACCAGGGGGAATGCACTGATGATAAATTCCTACCAGAGGGTCAATATGTGAGTTTCAACCCCTTTCTTCAGATCTGACTCCCCTCCTGGTGAAGCCCACACACACGCTGCAGCAACGGGGAGCTGGGATGGACTGAGCTCCCCTTCAGGGCACAGAGCTGGCCCTGACCAAACCGCATACAGAACACAGCCCCCCTCACCCCGCCATGCACGACAGGATGATCTCAGCTCTCAGAAATACAAGACTCAGAACCTTGGTGCTGAACACTGAACATAGAATAGAATCAACGTTAAATATTATTAAGGCTGGGCCCCAACCTGACTATGCAAATGGGAATCTCTGGGGGGGGGGGGGGGGGGGGATTTGCAGAATGCCTCACCACTCTAATGTGAAGCCAGCCTGAGCACCACTCAGAGGGGAAAGCCCCGCACACCTGCGACCTCTGGCTCTGCTGTCCCCTTGGTGCCTTGTTGTCACCAGTATCCAGACAGTGGAAGGAACAAAAACAAACATGGAGAGCAGACAATATGAACCAGAGGTGGGGTAAGTCTGTTGGGGGTGTCACAGGAGTCTCCACTGACAAGGTGATATCACAACAAGACCCAGGAAGGAAGAGTGCTTGCCACCTGCAGCTGAGGGACCACAATGTTCTAGGCAGAGGGACAGCTCAAGTGAAGGCAGGAGGCCTCTGTGGCTGGAGCAGAGTGAGCAAGGAGGACACAAGCAAGAGATGAGGTCACAGGTACTGGCGGAAGCACGTCAGGCAGGGCCCAGCTGTCCAAACATCTCTCTCCCATGCTCAGGAGGATTCTGGAAACCGTGGATTTCCTCACCTGTTTTAACTAAACATGGACTTATCTGTTTTATATATTAACACTTACAAATAATATAACATCTTCTCCCTCTTAAATATCTGCAACATTCAGCTAAGCCCCAGGACATACACATTCACCCTTCCCTGAGATACAGGAAAATGCAGTGGGAACGCCCCTGGGGGAGTTGAGGAAGTCACTTTTGGACACATTAAAGTGGAGATGCCTCTTAGATGTCTTAGCAGAGATGTTATGAGGAGACAACTGGACACATTATTCTAGAGTTCAGGGAAGAGGTCTCCAGGGGAAATGGAGACATGTACGTGGTGTTTAACACCATGAGATGAGATGATAAGAAAAGGCGGTGGGTGTAGACACAGTAGACAGCAAGTTCAAGGACTGAGCCACAGGATACTGCCACATACAGAAAAGAAGATCACAAGACACCAGAAAAGGGTGAAATGCTCACAGAGGCAACAAGAAAATTAAAACAAACAAACTTTTTAAGGTTAGTGGAAAGCCAAGAAAAAGGAAGAAGAGATCAACTGTGAGACATGCTGCTGACAGGAAAGAAAGATGAAGACAGAAAAGTAAGATATTGGATTTTAAAAAGGGGACACTGGCAACTCTGAAGAAGAAAGGATTGCTGGAATGGTGGAGGTGAACTGTTGATTGGATGGGTTCAAGCAAGATTGGGAGGGAAGAATTAAAAACAAAAAGCATAAACAAGTTTTTAGTGTCTTGTGGGTACTTAATAACGACAGAAATGTAGTTAGCAGAGAACTTCCTGTTTTAAAGTTGGACTAGACTTGTGGTCAATATGGCAGAATAGACACTCCACAGTGTTACTCTCTCCCACAATTCAACTAATTTACAATTATTAAAGAGCAACGAGAGCCAAGCTGGGGATACTAGAGCTCAGGGGAATGAAGGAGTGACATGGAGTGCTAGAAGGCAGGAGAGACCATGATGAGAGAAAGAAAAAACTGTGAGGGGCATATTGGGCCACAGCCACTTCCAGGCTGGAGCTGCTGAGCGCATGGAACAGGAGCCGGCAAAAGACGCAGCTGTGCCCTTTGGATGGAGTTGCTTGGAGGCAGCAGGGGAGAAGAGGGTCTTCATGGCCCCCAGGCCAGCAAGACCACTAACAGGGCAACCATGAACACATATAGGACCAAGGTGCCACAATAACTGAAAAAAAAGGAGCCACTCAGAAGGCAGTGAGTCATCACCAGGGACTGGAGCTTGGCCCCACCCATAAGGACTGTTTGGAGCACGGGCAGTGGGGAGACAGGACCACATGGGAAATGCTGGGATACAGCAAGGACAGGTGATTTGCTTCCCAATCAGCATAGGTCCACTCAGAGGAGATTGGTCAGGAATATAGAATTGCATGGGGTGCAGTTTCTTCAAAAGACTCAGGCCCAGATAAGTGTTCTACACAATCCAGGTGCACCGAATTTTACTAAGCCTGGAATTACCTATAAAGTCAACCATTGAAACCTGAGCTGCACAAAAAGCCTTCCCCAGAGAGTCAGCAGCAAAGCACCAATTTATCTCAACCACAGAGCTCAAGTACTGGTCCCCGCAGAAAGTTCCCCTACTTTAGAAGCAAAGGACAACAAATTAGTTCCAGTGCAGAATTTAAGTGGTGGGAACAGCAAATCATCCAAAACAGAACTGCAAGAAAAAAACAGACTACCCACAACCAGAGACAAAGTTTGATATTAACTAGTAAAGGTCTCATTTCACCAAAGAACACCTATAACACCCAGAAGGACCATAAGTTCCCTGGGCTACCAAGCCAGAAAGGAGGGACTGCCAGGGGCCTCAACCATGTCCCCTGACACCCACAACCAGTCCCGAGGGTGGGGGTCTTGGGCCTCAGTCCTCGGTCATGCCCCTCCAACATGAGTATCAGCTCAGCAATGACCACAGAGCCACAGAAGTATATCATGGTTTCCAGAACTCTCTCCTTGGGTTAGATTAATTTGCTAGGACAGTTTACCCATCTGGCTGTTCATCTCTATCCATTGTAAAATCCCTTATAACAAATGGGTAACCTAAGTAGAGTATTTCCCTAAGTTCTGTGAGCCTCTCTAGAAAATTAACAGAATCTGATGAGGGGATCATGGGAATTCCTGATTTATAACTGGGAACCCCTGACTTATAGACAATCTGAAAATGGTGACTGGCATCCACAGTAGGCTCAGTCCTGTGGAAATGAGCCTCAACTTGTGGTCTGTTGCTATCTCCAAGTAGTCAGTGTCAGAACTGAGTTAAATTATAGGACACCCAGTAGGTGTCTAATGCAGGACGGCTTGTTAGTGGGGAAAAATCCTCACACATTTTGGTGACGTGAGGTAAAGTATCCTGTGTGGAGTGTTCACAGTTGCTAGTGTAAGAGTAGGAAGAACACTTTGGTTTTTCCTCCAGTCTATACACCCCCTCCCCAAACCCAACCCCATTCCCAGAAAAAGGAAGAGGGTGACTCACAAGTGAATGGGTCAAGTCACTGTCCTCTGACTGAATACGGATTGCAAATAGAAGCTAGCCTCTGCTGCCAAGAATTATAAAATGCACATGCCTTATAGATAGGAGTTTTGCAACTCTCATTCTCATCTGTGTAACTTACACAAATTTTAGATGTTAGATTATAAACACAGGAATCAAGATCTCACAACATAGTCGTCTGTAGCCATCAACTCACCACTCGTCTAGACCCAGGTTCCCAGTCTCTATTACTGTTTTCCTCCCTCATTCTGTATGTATCGCTCAGTTTTGCCTACTCTATCTAGCTCTTTTGTGTTGTGTGTGTGTGTGTGTGTGTGTGTGTGTGTTTCCACTGGCTTTCTCCTCATTGTTATGTGCACCTTTATCTTCCTGCTGTTTCTCCCTTTTTTCTCTATTGTCTTACGCCTGTTCTGCCTCATTCTTCCAACTTGTTGCCTCATGTGGCTCTTTCTCCACAATCTTTTGATTGTTCCCAACGTCCATACATTTCTGCTTCTTTCTTCCCCTTCCCTGCACCCCCTCTCCTCTCCCTGTTAA